ATTAATTACGGATTGCTAATGGAACATTGTTTTCTATCGATTACTGTTGATTTATTATACAGTCTAAAAGATGATGATATCTAGTTTATATATTATATGGTTTAAATGCATGTATTACTGTCTTACTTGACTACTGTTTGATTTTGAAAATCTAAGATATGATTGCATTTTCGGATGCATGTTACTTATTTATGTATTTATGTTTGATTTGGTAACGAACACTAAGGACAAACAAGAATGGGATGTGACCTGATAAATGGATAAGGTGACAGCCTCACTAGATATCCTAGGAGATGGTGGACGGACCGAGTTTATAGGGAACCTTACCGTGAACGTTGTTTCATACCAGACGAAGTATGAGGATAGCCCGCTTCACCTTCATACGGACAGGGTATTGAGGTTTAATGTCTTGACACTCATACCGGACGGGGTATGAAAACGGCCCTGGAATTAAGATTGTTAATAGAAATAGTTCATGTGTAGCGGGGACACCCCTATGGATCCCCATGGATACTAGTAGGTTGATAAAAAAAGAGCAATTGTTGTTTGATGATTTGAATATAAAAGTATAATATGTGCTATGTTGTAGATTATATATAAAATCATGATATTTATAATGTTATTGTTTCCATAGGTTATTTTTATAAATCTCACTGCGGTAAGTGAACGGTAAATAGTTTTATTATTGATAAATGAAATTGTTTAAAATTTGTGCTCCATTGGTTGTTTTTATTTTTCTACCAACCTTTGCTTCTGTGACGGCGATATATTGTGATGTCCTTACTGGATTAGTGTAGTTCACTCCTTATTTAATCATTTCAGATCAGGAGGACCCGGTCTCCGAGTCTGATCCGCAAAAAGGCTACGAGTATACCCTATATACTTTATAATTTCTTTTATTTTTTTCATTTTTCGTATTTCTTTTAAAAAATTTGTTTTGTGATGTTTGTTAGTACTTTTGAGTTATCGTGTAAGGGATGTTAACCTTAACTTTTATTTCATTTCTGTACTCAAATTATTATATGCATTTCTTTTTAAATTTCTGGGGTCGTTACAGTCTCGATATTATCTTTAGTCCTGATTTGAATATAACATTTTTCTATAACATTCACTTTAGAATGATTACCAAAACTCACATTAATACGAAAATCTTCATTTAAATGAGAGAAAAATAACTTACTGTCGCACATATGATTACTGTATCCTTTATCTAAATACCAAATATCTGATTTATACTTGTCCTTTTTGATGTGAAATACCCTCAAGAGTGTTTCTTCTTCTTCTTTCTCTCTAAAGTTGGATTGCTTCTCTTTATTAGAATGTAAATTCGTAGTGTATTCAAACTTGTAACGACCGAACTTGTGACAATAATAACACTCAATATTGGACTTATTAAATTTTGTTTGATTGTGGTGATCATTTCCTTTATCTCTCTTTCAAGATTTTGATGTGTTAGAACCTCTACCTCGTCCTCGTCCACGACCACAGCCTCGGCCATGACCATTCGATCATCTCACTGTAAAAATTTCACCATTACTTTAAACTTTCAGAGCTTGCTCATCAGTTAAAGTTGTTGTCATTCTCTGCTCATACAACAGTAATGAACTTTGCAATTCATCAATATAAAGCTCATCAAGGTTTTTTGGCTTCTTAATAGAACATACAACATAAGAAACTTTTGGAGCTATTGATATGAGAATATTTTCCACCACGACGACATTTTTCGATTTTTTCACTGTAAATACACATCTTGTTCACTATGCTTATTATTCTTGAAAAATACTCATCAACGGATTCTTCATGCTTCCTATGGAGAATTTTAAATTCTCTAAGAAGGGCTTGAAGCTGCTGTCATTTCACTCTTGTTGTTCTTTGATATTTTTTCTTCATAGAATCCCAAATTTGTTAATAAATATTTTGTTAGAAAATCGTCTCTAAAATAACATGATTAGTTGCTTGAAATAGATAATTTTTTACCTTGAGATCTTTAAGTTTTTTTTTATTTTCTTCTGTTGAACTTCCATCAACATCACTTCATGGGTTAGTTCAAGCACTCATATTTTCATGACACTCTAGTATTTGTTAGATTGAAGAAAATTCTGCATCAATATGCTCTGATGATCATAATAACCATTAAAATGAGAGATTGCAAGTTGTGCATAACTCTCCGACGCTATAGATGTCTACTGCTGCTGTAGAACAAATTTTTTTCTTTTTTCTCTTTTTTTTTAACTATAATACCAGATGTAAAAATAGAATAATAGAAGAATTAAACTGAACTCAAGTAATTTTTACTGATGAAATCGTTACAAACAAAAAGTAACTATTAATTCACTAAAAACACCCCCAAACTCACTAATTTATAATTGCTAAAATTAAGAAACTACTATTTTATGACTACTATTCCATGTTTAAGATACCACTATTTCATACTTAAATACGATTGCTTTACTATTCCATAAATGTTAAATTAAATAACCATTAATTTATAATTAATAACTCTTAAATATATATAAAAAAATCTTAACATGAATGATATCATATTTTAGATTTTTGATTTAATTCAATTTCTTGATTCTCCATCAATATTTTTTTTTTATAAAAAATCACAAAAATAATATTTTGATTATAATATTAATGAATGAGTTATACAACGAAAGAAAAAAAAAAAAAAGGCTTCATTCAGCATGTAGTGTACAAACTCCAAGTTGTGTCCCATAATTAAATTTAAGAGAAGGCCATCAAGCAAGACTTTACTTTCAATTCTGAAGACTTGTCTTTTTGACAGCATTTCAATAGTAAAGATTTGAATAATATTAATTTGTTGTCATTTGAAGTTTTCCATCATAAAAAATCATTAGAAAAATTAAAAAATTGAAACGAAGATTGTAATATAATGAAGTCAATGAGACAGGACAAATATATACATACATACATATTTACAATTATGCAATCTTTCTTGTTTTTTTCTTTCTGGTTAGAATAAGAGTTAAGTATTTATATCAAGATTACAAAACCAAAAAAAAAAAAAGAAGAAAATTTTACGGTCACTGTAATATTCAAAATTTGCAATAATGTAATCTACTTTTATCAAGGCTAAGTAATTTTATGCACACAAATATAAGAAATTAAAATTTGCTAATCAAGATTTATTAAAGACAAAATAATTTTAGGGTCCACTGAAACACCAAAGGAATCCATGTGCATCCAACCCCCCCCAATCAAGCATACACCGGCAGAATGCAAAGCTATTTCCTTTTTAGCAAACAAACACCCACAGCCCTCTCTAATTCTCTATTCGCATAGAATATAAATTAGACAATAAACCCCAAAACCCAAGTCACCTCCTTTTCTCTCTTCTCCTCCTCCAAATTCTCTCTACTTGTCCGAATTCTTTTTATCCCTACTACGAAACTAGCAACTTTAGAAGATTCCCGTGATTATATCTATCAATCAAAACTAGAACAGACGTTAAGGAATCTGTAGGGATGGCCGCTAGTACGTCGTGGCAGCCACAGGAGGAAGGTTTGAGGGAGATCTGTGGGTTGCTGGAGCAGCAGATTTCTCCTTCCACTGCTGACAAGGCCCAGATTTGGCAGCAGCTTCAGCACTATTCTCAGTTCCCCGATTTCAACAACTATCTCGCTTTCATTCTTGCTCGAGGAGAGGTACTTTCTGTTTGGTTCTCGTGGAAAAGATAATAATGGGTCTGCTTTGAGCTGTGTGAATTTGCTGGGAGAATTGTGGGTTTTTTGATTGTCGGACTATTGGATTCTCCTTAGGGTGGTATTGCTAATTGGGTTGTGTTTTTATTAAAGGAATTAAGATTTATTGGCAGTATTAAGTGGGATTTTGTTGTTTGGGGATTTGGGTTTTGGTTCGATCCTTTGTTTGCAGAGAGAATGATGTTTTTCTTGGCTGGTCTTTTTGGTTATTAATCAGTTCTTTTGGTTTTGTGGAGTTCAGCATTTGAGAGAGAGTTAGGGGTTTTATCTTGATGAAAATGTGGAAATTGTTCAAATTCCTGGACTCTGGTTGCTTTAAGAGTTTCGACCATGTTAGGTTGACTTGAATGAATCCTTTACCTAACGATTAAAGATCATCGGATAATTCTCCATTAAGCTTACATAGCTAACATAATGAATTTAACTTGAACTTCATAATTTCTTAATGCTAAAATCATTCTAATCAAAGCCTTTCGCTTGTGAGAATTTTTATATGTTATCGCAGATGGCCTTCAGCATTTTTTCCTATCAATTTAAATAGAATAGATTGCAGCTGGTTCACTATGCTGTGAAATACATTTGTGATATTTAAATAGTTACCCTGTTACAATGAAACCGGTTTTCTTGCCTATGGACCGTCAAATACTATAACTTCTGATTGCTGATGGGCTGTTATGATCTCTGGCTTAATAATATCGTTGTTGGAATTCTGTGAATAGGGTAAAACAGTGGAGATTCGACAAGCTGCTGGTCTGCTGCTGAAAAATAACCTGAGAAGTGCATATAAACTAATGGCTCCCACAAATCAGCAATATATAAAATCAGAGTTGTTACCTTGTTTAGGGTCTGCAGATAGGCATATTCGGTCAACAGTTGGAACCATTATAAGTGTTGTTGTTCAGCTAGGGGGAGTGTTGGGCTGGCCTGAGCTTTTGCAAGCTCTTGTAAATTGTTTGGACAGTAATGACCTAAATCACATGGAAGGCGCAATGGATGCCTTGTCCAAGGTATGTCCACATCCTATTTTCAAATGAGGCAACTCTAGTGGTTGGCTCTAACCCATTCTTCAGGAGTACTTAATCTTAAATGCAACATTCAGTTGCAATTAGACAGGTTAAATGTTCATTGTTATCTAGATTTAGTTACACTTGGTGTCAATGATGTCCATGACACAGATTTGTGAGGATATCCCCCAAGTACTAGATTTGGATGTGCCAGGGCTAGCTGAACGTCCCATCAATATTTTCCTTCCTCGATTGTTGCAGGTGAAATGTTTTTACCTTTTTATACTGGTCAAAAATGTATATCTGGGTTCTGGGGTTTGCAATCGTGTATTTCTTAGCACTTTTGCTAGCATCAGATGAGCCCTTTCTCCTCTCTTTATCTTGGGGTTTGATTTATGACCCAGTTTTCTATGAACAGCTTTTCCAGTCACCACATGCCTCTCTAAGAAAGCTTTCCTTGGGTTCTGTAAATCAATATATTATGCCGATGCCTGGTGTAAGTATATACTGAATAGTTCTCTTCTCCCCTTCCTCACACATTATACATATGCATCATGGTTTGGACATTGATTTGGAATACTGATATCTTGATTTCCTTGCTCCACATGCAGGCTTTATATGTTTCCATGGATGAGTACCTTCAAGGTTTGTTTGTTCTGGCAAATGATCCTGCTCCAGAAGTCCGGAAATTGGTACATAACTTCTCATCATCCTCTTGTATTATGCCTTTTAGCCTGTCTAAATTTTCTTTTGTAAGTCCTTATGTTGATGCATATATGGGGCGTTTTCCAGCTTTTCATGTGTTTCATATTGTCATCCATCTTTATAGTAGCTCTTTTCTATTCCTGAACCCAGAAAATGAAAAATTAACCTTGCAAGTAGGAAAAGGAGGTAGACTGATGGAGACTTTCTTTCTGTATATATAATGCAGGGAAATGATTGTTTCTGCTTAGACTAATTGTTTTCTTTTGCTTCATAATTGCAACCCTTGAGTTTCTTCTAATTCTGCAGTCTAATGGCAGTATTGCCATTTTGTTTAAAGCTTTGGTTTGTTGGTACTGACATATCGCCCACCTCTACTTGCAATAGGTCTGTGCAGCATTTGTGCAGCTAATTGAAGTTCGTCCATCTTTCCTGGAGGTGGGTTCTTTTGTTTGTTAAATTCATTAATATTAATGATATTTTCTTATGATATGATCCGTGCAATTCTTTTTTGTCGAATTGATTTTCTTACACTGCATATTTCCTCTGTGTATCTTGGTGATATCCTGGAACAATTCATTAGTTCAATCATCCATATTAGTTTTGTATTATACTGCCTTCCTTTTTTATGCCTGTCGACTATTATGTACCATTTTGTCCAAACTTATTTTATTTCTGGTCTATTTCTAGATCTCAACTATTTGGTATGCAAATATGATCGTAATTTTCATGTTTGATTTACAATCGAATCAACCCCACTCATGTTAAATTCTGTTATCAAGGTAGGCACAAATTCACCTATTCTGAATTGAACATGAAATTAGCATGGAATTAGAATATTCTCTTACAAGGCTGTATCTTATTTTATTGTTTCTGTCAAATATTTATTTTATTTTATTGTTTTCGTACTTCAAATAATTCATATTTGAACCAAATGTGGCATTTTTTTCCTTGATGTTGCATATCATTGCAGCCACACCTGAGGAATGTAATTGAATATATATTGCAAGTCAACAAGGACGCTGATGAAGAAGTGGCCCTTGAAGCCTGTGAATTCTGGTAAGTCCTTATAAGCTAGGTGTTTGAATTTTTTTTTCTTTTTTTGAAATAATAGTATGGTAAGATTTATTAATTCACAAGCACCAAGGGGGTACCAATCCATGTGAAAGAAATATTTACATGTCAATCATAATATCAATAAGGTTCTCAAAATCTTCCATTGTATAAAAAGGATGACCTATAATAAAAAAGCCCAAGGTCTGGAGCCATTTATCTCTAACCCTATCAAAGTCATCTTCTATCCCCTTAAAAACTCTCATGTTCATCTATTTCCATACCATCCGAAAAATAATAAGGGGAATGGGACTCACATGTTTCTTCCCTCCACTAATACCTTTAGATGCCCGAATCTCTTCCCTTACTGATCTAGAAATTATCTAAAGGTCTCTGAATGTTTAATGAGTATCTGAGGATTAGTTTTTTTAAATGATGCCTCCCAAAAGGGACTTGAAATATTTGAACCTCTATCCTCTTGGTGGAAACAACTCATCTAAGGTGAGTTCGTTAGTACCTTAGTCATATATGTGAAGTATTTCTTGATAACTACATTGGTTAATGTACTCTTAAATGACTACTTCAGTTTATATCTTATAACCTTGCTCATAGTGTGTTATAAATGAGGGAATACATTCTTTACTTGGATTTTTCTATAGAAAAAGAAATATTATTAAGATACGGAGGCAAATATTACAAAAAGAAGCAAAAGAAAAAACAAAACAAAAAGTAAAAATAGAAAACACCAAAGAGGTAACAAATCATGTGACTACCATCTCAGCTCCTATGAAGGACAGTGAGGGAGATGTCAAGGTGTTTCCTATGAGCCTTGGCCCCAGAAAGGTCATTACTACCAAATAAAGTTGTCTTGCAAAGATCTGCTCTCAAATATCCATTGATTTCTTTGTGTCCAGATAGTCCAAAGACTTGCA